TTAGGCCGCAGATAAACTAGTCTGAGTTTCTTTTCTTGCTATCATATGATATGAAGTTTAAGTTGTAATTCTTTTCTATATAAAAGATTTTAATTAAATTTCAATAAAGACAGAGACATGGTCTCACCATTAATATTCAAAAAAAAAATTTCTTAATTTGGAAATACCCGAGATTCTTTTTTTGTAAATGGTGTTATATTTGTACATCCTATATCTTTTAGATTTTTTTCTAAGTATGAAATTCATAGTCTGTAAGTGTGTGATTTGGTAGATAAATTTGGCTAATGCTGTTTGAAGTTTGGTAATAGTATTTTTTTGATTTAGCCAATTTATGAAAAAGCGATGCTATTGTAGGTTAGTATTTGAAATTTTTCGTCTAAGATCTTTTTCATAAATTGGTGTCATAATATCAAGATCTAACCATTGTTGAAAATTACAGAATAGAGATTTGGATTGTGTTTTTAATGCTTGAATAATAATTGGGTCACTTAAGCCAAACAATACTATTGGATCTTTGTTTGACAAATGGTCATTTTTTTCTATACTTTCTCTGGTGATATATCAATATATTTTTCTCTTTGTAATCCATTTCGATATACATAAATAATTGTATTATTTTCTTCAATAGTCTGAACAATTAAACATTGATCGTCACGAACTTTATGACTAAAACTAGATATATATCCACATCCAGCAAAATTAAAATTCTTATTGTTTGATATACCTATTTGTGCTATAAAAATTTTAATATTGTTATATTTAATTTGAAGTGGATGAAATGGAATATCTATTAATAATTGAGTTATTATTTCATCATTAAAAATATCTAAGCCTGAATAATGCGTATTAGTTTTAAATTGTTGATAATATGCAGAATTAATTGCTGCTGTTATACTAGAATAAACTATATAATTCGGTTCTATTTCTGCAATAAATCCAGACAAATTATTCTCAACAATTATATATATTATAAAATGTTTATTATTTAATTCTATACTTATTCTACTGTACAATTAATATAAAAAGGCACCCAAATATTTTGCTTAAAAAATCACTAATTTGAAGCAAAATGACTATAATGAATCTGTTCTATGATATTACCAACTGCTAAAAGCTGTGTTTTATATTTTTTGTTAAATGTTGACATTGCGATTACTCAAAAATAAAAATTTTGAACACATCTAATATTTAATATAAATGATTATCCCAATTTTTTATTAGTGGTTGCAGATCATTTAGTATTTTTTATTGGCAAATTATCAATTAAATTAAAATTTAGAATATAGTTTAAATTTTAGGCAATTTCTATTTGTATACGGAGTGTACAAACACGTATCACATGACTATAATAAATTTATAAATAAATAATACTAAGTACTATGTATATATATATTAAACATAAAACATATAATTACAAACTCTTTCTGACAATCCCTTGGTCAACAACAAAACAAACCGAACTACAGAAAAGGTTATAGGAAAGCAACAAAGTAGACACCTAAATATTCTTAGTACTATACAAACATACTTGCTGTTAACAAACTTTGTATACATGAAACACCGAGGAGTGGGCGTATAAACAACAAGTGGGTTGTGCCTTTAGGTCAAGCTTTTAGTGGACTCCTTCGCACTTTCGACATCCAAAC